TTTTTTTTTTGACAGGCATAGTGGATAGTGAGAGAGAGAGACAGAGAGAAAGATCTTCCTTTGCCATTGGTTCACCCTCCAATGGCCGCCGTGGGCAGTGTGCTGTGGCCGGCGCACCGCGCTGATCCGATGGCAGGAGCCAGGTACTTATCCTGGTCTCCCGTGGGGTGCAGGGCCCAAGGACTTGGGCCATCCTCCACTGCACTCCCTGGCCACAGCAGAGAGCTGGCCTGGAAGAGGGGCAACCGGGACAGAATCCGGTGCCCTGACCGGGACTAGAATCCAGTGTGCCGGTGCTGCAAGGCAGAGGATTAGCCTAGTGAGCCGTGGCGCTGGCCTTCAAATCCAAAATTGACAAATGGGATTACATCAAATTGAGAAGCTTCTGTACTGCAAAAGAAACACTCAGAAAAATGAAGAGATAACCAACAGAATGGGAGAAATTATTTGCAAACAATGCAACTGATAAAGGATTAATAACCAGAATACACAGAGAGATCGAGAAACTCCACATCAACAAAACAAACATGCCAGTTAAGAAATGGGTGAAGGACTTAAATAGACATTTTTCAAAAGAGGAAATCCAAATAGCCAACTGACACTTGAAAAAATGCTCAGGATCACTAGCCATTAGGGAAATGCAAATCAAAACAATGTGGTTTCACCTCACCCCAGTTAGAATGGCATTCATACAGAAATCAACAAACAACAAATGCTGGCCAGAATTTGTGGAAAAAGGTACCCTACTCTTGTTGGGAATGTAAAATGGTAAAACCACTATGGAAATAAGTTTGGAGATACCTCAGAAATCTGAATATAGACCTACCATATGATTGAGCCATTGTACTCCTGGGAATTTTTCCAAGGGAAATGAAGTCAGTGAACAAAAGAGTTATGTGCACCCCTATGTTTATTGCAGATCAATTCACATTTGGGTTGACATGGAATGAACCCAAATGCCTTTCAACTGAAGACAGGCTAAAGAAATTATGTGATATGTATGATATGGAATACTACACAGTGATTAAAAAATGAAATCTGATCATCTGCAACAAAATGGATGAATCTGGAAAACATCATACTTAGTGAAATAAACCAGTCTCAATGGGGGCAAATACCATATGTTCTCCCTCATCTGTGATGCCTATCAGAGCACCTAAAAGGAAATTTGTAGAAGTGAAATTGACACTTTGAGAATAATGACTTGAACAGCCCTTGTCTTGAGTGTAAAAGAATTTTTTTTTCCTTAATGGAGAATGGGACTGGGAATGAAGAGGGAGGAGGAGTTGGCTTAGGAGAGAATGTGGGAGGGTGGTTATCACGGGAAGAATCACTATATTCCTAAAGCTGTACTTATGAAATTTGTACTCATTAAATAATTGGTTTCTTTGGGAAAAAGAAAAAAAAATTAAGTGTGTGTGTGTGTGTGGCTTTGGTATGAAAGAAATATTACATTAAGTTGAAGGTGGAAGAATCAATTAACAAAGAGAAATATGCCTCAATGTCTCAATGGAGGTGAAGAACTTCGCGCTAGTTTCTGTTTTTGAGTTTATTTATTATTATTTGAGAGGCATGGTCGGGGGAGAGTACTCCCATCCTTTGGCTCACTCCCCATATGCCCACAGTAATCAAGCTGGGGCAGGTTGAAACAGAATTCTGGGAACTAAACCTAGGTTTCCTAAGTAGGTGTCAGGGACCCAACAACCTGAGCCTGCCAGGAAACTGGAACTGGAGGCAGAGCTGGGATTCAATCCCAGGCACTCCAATATGGGATCCAGGTGTCTTAATTATCATTTTAATGACAGCCATGAATGACTAGTTCATCACCTACTTTTCTCAGGAGTCTTACATTATACTCATGGAATTAACAGTTGCCTTATTAGGTACTTAAAATCTATGTATACATGGACACCAGTAGTATTGGGCGGGGACTTTACAATAAAACTTAAAGTGGTCCCTAATTAATTAAATTGTGAACTTTACAAGTTGGAAATCTATATATTATCCAGTTTATGCACTGGTTTAAAATAATCAAACCATTAAATCCATGCAAATATTCAATCCTTGTCCTTGCTGAGACAATTCAAACACATCTGAGAACTAAAAGTTATTGTCAGTTAGTGAAAGCACTAATGAAGAAAAGATTAGCTTTGAATGACTAAATTGGACATTACATGGAAAAATAATAATGAATTGATTATGTGTTGGAACTAGAGTAATTGCTGGTCTTTAAGTTTACAGATACAAAGTATTACCTCAATCTGAGAAGAGATAATATGAGCACCTTCAAATATACATTATGAAGTGGTCACTTGCCCTGCCCTGGAGTCTCCCACCCTAGATAACCTCTCCATTGGAACCACAAAGGAGAAAATCCCAAACATTTGACTTTCAAATACAATACATAAATACAGAAGAAGAAAAAGGTCTTCTATATCTCCCTACCAAGTTACCTGCCTTATTTTAACGATCAGAGATAAAATCAGCCAGTAAAAGCTGAGTCATAGGTTTTCTGTTATTCCCGTCACTCATTATCTTTGAGAATTTAATGATATATATATACACATATCTACACACAAATGTACACACTATAATTGAAGGCAAACTAATCCATGTTATTTAAATATGGCCATAATAATTCCTCTTGGAGAGGTTTTGCACATAAAAAATAGATTGTTTTGCAAAATGGTATAGCAAATGATGAAATATTGCCTATTTTCATAATCTTTAACCAGAAGTGAAAATACTACTTTCTGAAGACCAGGTAGAGGACTTATTTTATCACCTGCCAAAGAAAAAGCATCTTTCATGAGATTAAGCACCTGTCCCTAGAACTCTACATTTGTATTTACATGGATTTAAGGACCTCAGATAAACCATTGGAACAGGACAGAAATCTCCTTAGACAAGCATCTAGGAGGGTTAACAAAGCCTGAGCCACACACAACCTAGGTGTATCACACCTGTGTCAAGACATCTCCCCCAACCTCAGTGTTTCGCAACGTTGGTTGGCACTGAATTTTCCTGGAATTTTTTTTAATTTAAAATTCTATTTTATTTATTCAAAAGACAGCATGTCAGAGAGGAGAAGAGACAGGTAAATGGACAGAGATCATCCATCTTCCAGTTCATTCACCAAATGCTTGCAACAGCTGTGGCTGGGCCAGGTCAAAACCAAGAGTCAAAAACTCAATCTGGGTCTCCCATGTGGGTAGCAGGGATCCAACTGCTTGCGGAATCACCTGCTGCCTCCCAGGATATGCGTTAGTAGGAAGCCAGCAGACCTGGGACTTGTATCCAGGCAGTCTGATATGGGATGCACGCAACCCAAGTGGTGTCTTAATGGCTACACCAAACATAAGGATCCTGGTCGTTTCACTCATGGTCATTGTACTGTATTGATTTCACCTGCACTGCAAAGGTTAATTTTGTTTTATTTAACCTCTTGTGAGCTGGCTTTGCAGCATGTTAAGAAAGTGCCCTCTGGTTTATAAGGAAGTTGTGGCGCCAAGAAGCCACTTAGCGGCTTATCTTAAAACCATGTCCAGATGGAGTAAGGAGAGGCTGCTATTGGCCCAGGGCAGGCACCGCCAGTCTCTGGAGTTAGTCTTACCCAGGTACAAATTCCAGCCCAGACACCTTCCCTTTGTCAAAGCATCATGGAGGAGGGCAAAAATAGATGCAAGCTGCATTCTTTATATTTTTGTACTTGGGATGATTCCTTGATTTGGGAATGAGATTTGCAGATGGTAGAGTTGGTGGCAGAAATCACAGGTTCAACTGTCCAGGGATTGTTGTTTGGTGAAGGTCAGCACAGGAATCGAGTTCCAGAACCCTAGAGCCACAGTTTCTCTATAATAACTTAAAGAGCAAGGAGGGAGGGCAAGCATGCATTCTAGATTTTATTTATAATAACTGACCTTTATTACATTCTTGCTAGTTACCATTTTAAAGAGTGAGGCAGAGTTAGTACGTTGCTATCAAGTTTTGTTTTGTGCCCTTAGATGAATCAGTTACCCATTAACCACATGCTTCAAAGCAACTGTCATATTGAAAATCCCACTCTCCACTAACACTCTAGTTGGAAACTTCCTGGGGTGTTTATTTGATCTAGTAGTTAAGAGACTGATTGGGATTCTCACTTCCCACAGGGAAGTACCTGGGTTCAGTCCTGAGCTCTGACTCTTGACTCTGCTACCTGCTAAAGCAGAACCCTGAGAGGCAGTGGTAATGGTTTATGTAGGCTGGTGCCACGGCTCACTAGGCTAATCCTCCGCCTTGCAGCGCCAGCACACCGGGTTCTAGTCCCGGTCGGGGCGCCGGATTCTGTCCTGTTTGCCCCTCTTCCAGGCCAGCTCTCTGCTGTGGCCCGGGAGTGCAGTGGAGGATGGCCCAAGTGCTTGGGCCCTGCACCCCATGGGAAACCAGGAGAAGTACCTGGCTCCTGCCATCGGATCAGCGCGGTGCGCCGGCCGCGGCAGCCATTGGAGGGTGAACCAATGGCAAAGGAAGACCTTTCTCTCTCTCTCTCTCACTGTCCACTCTGCCTGTCAAAAAAAATTGTTTATGTAACTGGGTTCCTGCTATCCATGTGGGAGACCTGGATTGAATGCCTGGTTCCTGGTTTTGGATTGACCCAGCCCCAGCTGTTGTAGGCATTTGCAGGAGTGAACCAACAGTAATGTGAGTTGTCTTTCTGTCCTTCTGCTTCTTAAAAAAAGAGTCTTCTATAATTTTTAAGGGAAACCTGTATCTGGGGGGCCTTTTATCCTCAATTATGTCTATAAACAGAATTATAAGTCTATCAATTATAAGTCTATAAACAGAAAAAGGAGAGATACTATTAAATGGCATTTGGCCAAACCTTCAAACCGTTGGGTCGTGAACTGCAAATAAGGCCAATCCTGCATCAGGTCGTGCTTCTGGTCCAGTGCTCAGCACTCTTCCAACTCCACACACGGTTTTCATTCAGCAATTCTATAAACAGAGATTGTTCTTACCCTCATCCTTCCATTCCTTATTGCTGGCCCATCTTCTGCCAATCTCAGCACGTACAAATCCATCTTGTATTCCCTTCCTCCACGAATGCTGAATCCAAATCCTTTGGCTCCTTTCTCCATGTCCACAGTGAAATAGTCAAAATCCTTTGGGGTTGGGGAGAAATGAAATAAGCAATTGTTGAGAATCAGAGACACCCTGGTGGCCAGTCACTCTGTTCCCCTTCTCTCTTCTAGTTGATGTGAGCCAAATGATACGACATTGTGAAAGGAAATAATCTGATTTCATAACCTTCAAGACACAAGACAGAATTCCTAAGGCTGGAGTGGGTCAGAACACAGTTTACTTGGTTATGAAACTACTGTGTAGCTCTTTTCATTTGGTTTTCACCATAATCATCACAGGGAGGACTGACTGACATAATCTTTCAAGTTTCCTTATTCACTGCTGTTGAACATGACAAATGCACGTATCAGTCACGTGTGTGTGATGTGTATGTATTTATGTAAATTATACAGTTTATTATAGCAGTGACTGTATCTCCCAGTTGCATAGGCCTCTGCATATCCAGTTAAGGTGCACTGAATCAGTTTCTCTATGATCTAAAGTGCAATGTGTCCAAGACTGCCTGATCTTCATTGTTTGCAAAATCTCGATGCATAAAGGTGATCACCAGTTCATAAAGAAACACACTGTAAAGCCGGCGCCGTGGCTCAATAGGCTAATCCTCCACCTTGCGGCGCCGGCACACCGGGTTCTAGTCCCGGTTGGGGCGCCGGATTCTGTCCCGGTTGCCCCTCTTCCAGGCCAGCTCTCTGCTATGGCCAGGGAGTGCAGTGGAGGATGGCCCAGGTGCTTGGGCCCTGCACCCCATGGGAGACCAGGAAAAGCACCTGGATCCTGGCTCCTGCCATCGGATCAGCGCGGTGCGCCGGCTGCAGCGGCGGCCATTGGAGGGTGATCCAACGGCAAAGGAAGACCTTTCTCTCTCTGTCTCTCTCTCTCACTGTCCACTCTGCCTGTCAAAAAAAAAAAAAAAAAAAAAAAAAAGAAACACACTGTAATCTGATAAAGTTGACATTATAATTTCTGGCTTGGCAACTAGTTTCCAGGGATGGGTATTTACTAGACATCAAGCTCTGGTCTAGGGAGCTTTCTGCCAATGTTGGCTCCTCAGGTGGGCCTGTATGGCGGCCCCTCCATCCGGGAAGCTGAAGCTCAGAGGAGTTAAGGAAACCTCTGTGACAGGTATCCAGCGTCAACAGATGACTGCAAGCACACCACTTGCGGGGCAGATAGGCACTGGGTGGTTGTTGCAGAGGCTATGTTCTGGATGGCAAAACCCGGCCTCATCTTTCCCTTGCATGGGGTGTCGCCCTCTACCGCCTGGTGGGAAGTAGGGATTCAAGTAAATAATTACGGACCTAAAATACTTCCACTGTTGACCCCAGGGAAATTTTTCTGCACAGTAGCACTGTCTGAGGTTCCAGAAATGAGCAGTTTTTCAGCTCTGACAAGGAATGGACTGGGAATCGCTAGCTAGGGGTAGCAGAGTTTATTTCATCCTACCCGCTACTGATTGACTGTACCATTTTATTCAGAAATACATTTATCTATCGCACACACTTTCAGGATGTAGCTGGTACCCTGACAATGTCAGAACTAGGGGTAGAACTCTGACTCTGTCCTGGAAGGATGCTCTTTCCTCAGGTCCCTCCCCGCTCTCTCCCCCCTTCTATTTCAGCACGTCTCGGTTGGGGCCTGCTGTGATCTCCAGGGTAGAGTACCTGGGGCTGCCTGTAGTCTGACAGAGGGTACTGCCTCGTGTCAGGGGAGTGCTGCCTGTAGTCCAGCAGGGGAGGCTGTCTGTACTCCACGGGCGGGGGCTGCTGGAAGTCCCCTCCTGGGGGTTGCCTGTAGTCCAGGGGTGGCTGCCTGTAGTCTGTGAATGGAGGCTGTCGGATGTCTGGTTTCACATCTTGCCTTGCTTTGACTTCCGATCTGTAACTACACAAATGAAAATGGGATTAGCTGTAGGGCTGCAGCATTCTAAGGGGACCAGAATGATCTCATGGCCTCCAGGCAGATCCAGCCGCAGCAGCTGTACAAGTCCCTCCTCTGGGTGGTCCTGTGGCAACATGAGCAGGAGAAGCTTAAAGAAATTTACAAGCCAGTGCTGAGCTGTATAGTCTTCATCTGGCTCCTTAGGAAATCAAGATAAAAATGGTGGTTCAACCAGAACTTTGTGGTAAAAGACTCATGGATATTACCCTTTAACTTTGGCAAAGAAAAACTGTACAGTCACAGCAAAACCTGGGAGTTAAACACTTAACTGTAAATCCCCAAGTATCAGTGTATCTTAACATAACTTAACTCTTTCAACAGCACCCCCCCATCCCACCCCCCACATTCTCCCCTCTCCATCTCTCTCTCCTTGGCAGATCATTCATTATTTCATGAAAATGTGATTGATGTGATCTTTAACTACTTCACAAATATATAAAGGCTATTTTATCCTGCTCAATTGAGTTTTTTTTTTTTTTTTTGACAGTCAGAGTGGACAGTGAGAGAGAGAGAGACACAGAGAAAGGTCTTCCTTTGCCGTTGGTTCACCCTCCAATGGCTGCCGCGGCTGGCACGCTGCGGCCGGCGCACCGGGGCGATCTGGAGGAGGGAGCCAGGGGCCTCTTGTGGCCTCCCATGGGGGCAGGCCCCAAGCATTTGGGTATCTTCAACGGCCTTCCGGGGCCAAAAGAAAAGAGTTGCCCTGAAAAAGGGCAACCGGGAAAAGATTTTGCCCCCCCGACCGGGAATAAGAACCCCTATGTGCCGGCGCTGCTAGGTGGAGGATTAGCCTATTGAGCCACGGCATCGGCCTCAATTGAGTCTTTTAAAATGGTTTTCAGAGGTTAAAGGAGTGAGAGTAAAATGTAATCACCAGCTACAAATCAAGTAAAAAGTCACTGGCTCATTGGTAAAAATCAGCAACATATCACACAGAGGTTTAAATCCTACACCATAGCTATCAGAGTTAGTATGAGATAATACTGAGGTCCTAAGATGGAAGGGAAGGCAAAGATGTTTCTGTCCCATGTTTGTCTTTTGCTTATTTCTAGAAATCAGAAATATGAGCTTAATGTACTTTTGTTAATAAGACTGCAATTGGGAAATTGAGAGAGTTCTTTGTTCAAAAGGAGAACGGAATGGTTCATAATAAGGAAAACTGATGGGTTCATAATAAGGAAAACTGAAAAAAAAATCACTGTCATTTAGAGACCACTTAATTCTATAGCTCTTTGCCTTTTTTGGCCATGACAAAAAATATGACGGACTATTCAGGAATGCAGGTAACTTACAAAACATATTTTATGTAATACCAATTTATTTAAAATTCATATAGAAAGTATGAGGAATTGAGAAAGTATTTAGTATCAAGAAAAAGCTCCGATGTGTCAGGAATACTGGTTAAAAAGCAGTAGAATTTTTTAAAATTTCTTTTAAAGATTTTTATTTATTTATTTGACAGGTAGAGTTAGAGACAGTGAGAGGGTGAGACAGAGAGAAAGGTCTTCCCTCCCTGGGTTCACTCTCCAAATGGCCTCAACGGCCGGCGCTGTGCCGATCCGAAGCCAGGAGCCAGGTGCCTTCTCCTGGTCCCTCATGTGGGTGCAGGGGCCCAAGGGCTTGGGCCATCCTCCACCACTATCCCAGGCCATAGCAGAGAGCTGCACCGGAAGAGGAGCAACCAGGACCAGAACTGGAGCCCATATGGGATGCCAGCGTCGCAGGTGGAGGATTAACCTAGAGTGCTGTGGCGCCGGCCCCAAAAGCAGTAGAATTTTTACTGTTGAGACTAGATGGTTTCTCTACTGGATGCTGACTAGTATGAAATATTTTTAAAAACCACTCAGCTGAATCACTGCAATTAGTGAAATCTAATATTTGAGGAGAACACATTGAAAGTGTGTGGTGACAGATGAGTTTATCTGGGGCTCTTGGAAGGGGATTAGTAATGAAGTTATTTTAATCAACCCTTTGATTTAGTCCCATTTGTTAGCTAACCCAGCAGTGGGCTGACATGCCTTTTGTGACTGCATAATTCAGGCTTTGCTTTGTACCTCAGTTGTCCACACCTAGTGAGAGTGTGCATGCTGAGAGCAGAATTATTTAAAATACACTTTGAATATGATGCTTAATTATGCAAATATATGCATTAAACAAAAGGAACTGAACTCAGTGTCATCTGTTGGAGTGTGTTGATTCCTCTCTAGAAATAGTTTGCTTGGTGGTTTAGATGTTTACACTATTTTAAGTTCAAGAATAGTCCCTTTATTTTTTGTAGCCTGTGGGGTATTGGTAGGAGACATCCATTATGTGCTTTGAATCCAATCATGATGTATCACAAAAGAGGGGGAAATGTTAAGAGACTCCCCAAAGGTTACACAATTGACTAGCAACAGGAACAGCTGGAACCTGGGACAGCTGTCAAGCAGGTCACCAACTCTCCAACCTCACTCGACACTGGTGTCATGTGTCATGATTTTAAGTTGAACTGCACACTAAAGAATTCTTTGATAAAGTAAATGTAGTTAATTGTTTATGAGTGTTGCTAACTTTAAGGTAAGTGATAACACTGTTCAGGCAAAACTTACATTGCTTTGAATTTGTGAAACACTTTATTAAGGAAAATTCAAGGTAGTTTAAAAAACAGGCTTTTTTAAAGTTCCTTTACCTAGGAAAGAAGGTCATCCATATAACTTTACAGCTATTAATTTCATTATTAAACAGAATTACGCATGATAAAACCCGACTGCTACAAATTCCAGCATGTTTTTTGGTATGACAAAATTCCAGAATCAAGAAACATTGCAGATGGTGTGAATGCACACCTTTTGCTTCAAGTCTTGAGCATCCAGTCTTCAAAGCCTGTGAAAGAAGTCACTTTCCAGTGTTCTTCCACTGACCTTGCTATTTTAAATTGCAGTCAAATATCAATTGTCCTTGCTGGGAAAGGTATACTCTGCTATTTAGACTTAGCTTGGTAATGCATCCCACAGTGGCTCTTTGTTTTCAACAAATGCTCTTCCTTGAATAGTACAATGCTTTGGCTGTGGTTGGTCCCCAAGGGTTCCAGTGCTGGAGACTGGATTCCCCACATGGTGGAGTTAAGAGATGGTGGAACCTCTAGTAGGTGGGGCCTAGTGTAAGGTGTTTAGGTCACTGGGGGCATGGTCCTTGGGAGTAATTAATGTAGCTCTCATGGGACCTGGTGAGTTCCCTTGAGGGTGAGTTGCTATGAGAAGGGCAAGCCTGCCTCTCTCTGACTTGCTGTTTTGCTCCGTGATCTTTTCCAGATGCACTCCTGCCACTGTGACCCATCCACTGTGAAACCCTCATTGGAGGCTGCACCAGTGGGACCGCCCAAGCCAGGACTTCCTGCCTCCAAAACTGTTAAATAAACCTCTGTTCTTCACAAATACCCAGCCTCAGCTATTTTCTTGCAGCAACGGAAGATGGATTAATACAAATAGTACTTGACTTACATTCATATTAAAACTCATTTATGTTTTCTGAGCAACTCATTTATGTTTTCTGAGCACAGATCACACAGAAATGGGGAGAAGTGTGCAGGGTGTCCTGGAAGCTAGTCTAAGCATAAGTAAGACAGGATAAAATATTGCTTGTTCTAACTCACAGAGGAGATTGGCAAGCGATTTTCCTTTATTTCATCCTGCTGTAACATGGGGACTAACTCAACTTGACATGTAGGTGGGCATTCCTTGTACAAATGAAGTAACAGGAAATTCATACTGTGCACTTGGCAAATAAACTGTCTTGGAGGCATTTCTAGCCCAATCTTGAAAGGCAAAGAGTTTTCCCTCTGATGCCCTGTCTTTTTTAAAATTAATTAAGTATTAATTTGAAAGTCAGAGTTAGAGAGAGAGAGAGAGAGATCTTCCAGCCACTTGTTTTGCTCCCTAGATGGCCGCAACAGCTCGGGCTGGACCAGGCTGAAGCCAGCAACTAGAAGTTTTTCTCCAATCTCACACATGAGTGGCAGGGGACCAAACACTTGGGCCATTTTCTACTGCTTTTCACAAGCTATTAGCAGGGACCTGGATTGGAAGTGGAGCACCGGTGACCATATGGGATGCTGGCATCACAGGCGGCGGCCTAACCTGCTGTGACACAATGCCAGCCTTTAAATGCAGCTGGGAAAAGTTCTGCTGTCTCTATAACTGAATTTCTTCATTTATATGCAAACGGGCCACCACTAATAACCAAAGTGGTAAGCCAGGAAACCTGAGTGCTAATTAAGGGATCTGGAATTGGAGTGGGCACTTCCCAGGCTGTTAACATCACTGAAGCAAAACAGCTAAGAATTCTGGGCAAACATATTGGGGATTTATAAAAATTTGGATTTGTTAATACTAGAGATAGGAAATATTTTATTCTGTAGTCAGGGGAAAAAAAAACAAAGCCAACAACCCAATGACCAATTTCCTCTGTGATAGGATAGTGAGCTAGCAGCAGGTGGGATCCAATAGTGGTCTGACCCAACTGTTGCTCCCTCTAGGGACTATCACACCTCAGCAATGAAATTACCCACCCAAGGCTGGAAGCACGAGCCATGTCGGAGGACTCTGGGAAGGAAAAGTTAGATTGTAGTTGCTGCAAAATTAATCTATAATGGCAAAGCCAAGAAGAATAGTCTGAAGTTGGCTCAGCAGCTGCTGGAATGCTCCAGTCCTTCCTCCTGAGGTTCAAGTGGATCCTGGGGAAAGCCAGCGCAATCTCTTGAAATAACACACAGTGAAAGCCAACGCACATCTGGGGCTTATCACGGAGGCACCCAGGACTTTGTTTCTTACAGACTGCAATTTTCCCCTCTACATTGCTTTCTGGGCTGTTTCTCTTCCCTGGTATATATTAAAAATGCAAACAGCGGAGGACAACCAGACGTTTATTTTTCTGTGACAGCGCACAGGGGAATCAGTGTAGAATGGGGCTTTATGGAAATACCACCTGTGGCACAGGGCAAATATTGCAGTAGTGAGAGTGATGAACCCAGAACAATGTGGGAATCAAACACAGAGCCTCACTGCTTCTTTACCAACTCAGGAGGCAGGAAGTGTTCGAATCACAGAGGGGATTAGCGAGGGTTTGATACTCAGAGACTTGTCCCCGTGAGTTCTGCTTTTCTCCTGCTGTATGGGGGGAAACAAGATGGGAACATGTTTTCATCTTTTTTCTTTAGTAGCTCAACCCAGCTTAGGCTCCCCACCATGCAGCAGTCACAACACTGTCTTTACGTGACAGCCCCTCTCCCGGACTTTCAGAGCGCCTTATGCACATTAGCCCATGATGCGTGTCTCTACCTCTGTGTGTGGAATGAAGAACTTCATTAGATTGTGGGTAGGAGGACACGAGGTTACCAGTCCACTTGAACAACAAAAATGAGAACATTTATGAATGCCTGCATATCGTCCGACTGCCCCTCCTCTCCACACCATCACCCTCGGGGCCACTCCTTTGCAGCCACCTCCTCACTGCTCAACCTGCTTTACCCTGGCTGCCTCCTGTCTGTTCTCTGCAAGGCAGACTGGCAGAGCTTGAGAAGCAAATGCAGTGATGGCAAGGCTCAGCTTAAAACCCTACAGAGGGCGCTGGTGCTGTGGCGCATGCAGCTCTAGCATCCCATAAGGGTGTTGGTTCAAGTCCTGGCTGCTCTGCTTCCAATCCAGATCCCTGCTAATACTCCTGGGAAAGCACATGAGAGACCTGGAAGAAGCTCCTGGCTCCTGACATTGACTTGGTCCAACCCCAGGCGTTGCAGACATCTGGGGAGTGAACCAGCAGATGGAAACTCTCTCTGTGTCTCTCCTGTAATTCAGTCTTTCAAATAAATAAATAAATTCTTTAAAAAAATGAGGAAATCCAAATGGCCAACAGACACATGAAAAAATGTTCAGATCACTAGCAATCATGGAAATGCAAACCAAAATCACAATGAGGTTTCACCTCACCCCGGTTAGAATGGCTCACATACAGAAATCTACCAACAACAGATGCTGGCGAGGATGTGGGGAAAAAGGGACACTAACACACTGTTGATGGGAATGCAAACTGGTAAAGCCACTATGGAAGGCAGTCTGAATTTCCTCAGAAACCTGAATATAACCCTACCATACAACCCAGCCATCCCACTCCTGGGAATTTACCCAAAGGAAATAAAGTTGGCAAATAAAAAAGCTGTCTGCACATTAATGTTTATTGCAGCTCAATTCACAACAGCTAGGACCTGGAATCAACCCAAATGCCCATCAACAGTAGACTGGATAAAGAAATTATGGGACATGTACTCTATAGAATACTATACAGCAGTAAAAAAAACAATGAAATCCGGTCATTTGCAACAAAATGGAGGAATCTAGAACACATCATGCTGAGTGAATTAAGCCAGTCCCAAAGGGACAAATATCATATGTTCTCCCTGATTGGTGACAACTAACCAAGCACCAAAAAGGAAATCTGTTGAAGTGAAATGGACACTATGAGAAACAGTGACTTGATCAGCCCTTGTCCTGAATGTTGATGTACAATTTAATACTTTATCCCTTTTAGTATCTTTTTTTGTTCTACTTAATACTATTGCTTGAACTCTGTAATTAACACACAAGTATTCTTAGGTGTTTAAATTTAACTGAAAAGTGATCCCTGTTAAATATAAGAGTGGGAATAAGAGAGGAGATGTACAATTTGGGACATGCTCAATCAGACTTGCCCCAAATGGCAGAGTTAGAAATGTGCCAGGGGATTCCTATTCAATCCCATCAAGGTGGCATGTACCAATGCCATTTCACTAGTCCAAGTGATCAATTTCAGTTCACAGCTGATCACACTGATAGGTCTAAGAGTCAAAGCGATCACACAAACAAGACTAGTGTCTGCTAATACTAACTGATAGAATAAAAAAAGGGAGAGAAAGATCCAACAGGGAAGCAGGATACACAGCAGACTCATAGAATGGCAGATGTCCTAAACAGCACTCTGGCCCCAGAATCAGCCCCTAAGGCATTCGGATCTGGCTGAAGAGCCCATGAGAGTATTTTAGGCATGGAAAGCCAAGACACTCTGGCAAACAAACAAACAAAACACTTAAATGGAAGATCTCAGTGAGTGAGATCCCAGTAGAAAGAACGGGCCATCAATGAAGGAGGTACCTTTCTCTGAAGGGAGGAGAGAACTTCAACTTTGACTATGACATTGTCTAAATAAGACTGAAGTCGGCGAACTCAAAAGGCTTCCATAGCCTTGGCAACTCATGACTGGAGCCTAGGGAGATTACTGACACCATAAACAAGAGTGCCAAACTGTTAAGTCAACAACAGGAGTCACTGTGTACTTACTCCTCATGTGGGATCTCTGTCCTTAATGTGTTGTCCAATGTGAAGTAATGCTATAACTAGTACTCAAACAGTATTTTATACTTTATGTTCTGTGTGGGTGTAAACTGATGAAATCTTTACTAAATATATACTAAATTGATCTTCTGTATATAAAGATAATTGAAAATGAATCTTGATGTGAATGGAATGGGAGAGGGAGCGGGAGATGGGAGGGGTGCTGGTGGGAGGGAAGTTATGGGGGGGAAAAGCCATTGTAATCCATAAGCTGTACTTTGGAAATTTATATTTACTAAATAAAAGTTCAAATACAAAAAATGCCCTCCAGAAACCCCCAGTACACTTAAGACAAAGACCCCACACTTTAACAGAGCCCTATAGGGGTGATCCTGCCACGTTCACTGGTTTCGTTGCAAACTGTGCCCCTCTCCCTCTACTCCCTGGAGTCCTCCCAGTGTGCTCCTCAGTTCCTGAGCCCCTGCCCATCTGCAACAGCTCGTCACTTCTTCAGGGAAGGCTCTCCTACCTTGAAGGACAGATACTTACTTTACTTACTTATATTTACTAATAAACCCACTCAAAGATCTGAGAATCACACACTGGTGTCCATGACATTCCTACTTCATGAGGACCACCCTCTCCCCCTTGCCTGGGTCCTGTTCTGTCCCTGGATGCTCCCTCTCCCCACCTCCCTCACCTCTTAGAAGGAATGGGAAAAGCTGGAGGAAACTTTACCTGCTTTCATGTCCTTGCAGCTGCAGTGGCTGAGGAGGAGCTGGCTGGGCGACGGGACTGTTGGGGGTGGCTGGGCTTGGCTGGGCCGAGGGGCTGTGCTGCTGGGCCGAGGGGCTCTGCTTCTCTGAGCTGGGTGCCGAGGCCGGGCTGTTGAGCTCTGCGATGGGGGAACCAAAGTGGCGCATGCAGTCACTAGGCTGGTACTGGATAAGAGGTGACCCGACCCTCCAGTTCCCCTTCCCATTGGATTGGAACACTGGTCTTGGTGGTTGTACAAGGAGGAAAAGTGATACTGAAGCTGGCTTCATGGTGTTGTAGTCTGATATACAGCATTGGGTCAATTTCCAACAAGGAAGCAGAAAAAAATAGAGGTGACCCGAGGTGGCAACCCTAACCCCTCACGATCAAGGCTATGGTTATTTCTGTTTCTGTTCCACTTTTAGATAGCAGGTGAAACATATCAGGTTCCAATACCACTCCTGGAATTAGTATTATTTCATTAATTATAACTTGCCAAACAAGGTTATGAACAAGTCTCTTGTTTGGTCAGAAGAAAAGATCACACAGAAAATCTATTAAACACATGAAAAAAATCATCTGGGGAGAAGGTCTGAAATATATGTGTATTCTATCTTCCTCACACTGCTTGCAGAGAGAAAAAGGTTTAGCTATTATTATTTTTTTGGTTGAAATGAGAATTCTTAAGTCTTTCAAAATGTGGGTGAGGAACTAACCCTAAAATAGGAAATGCTTTCTGCAATCTCTCTCTGCAGTCCCTGTCAGTCTTATTGTCAAATAGCCAGCCCTTTTTACCCCACAGTTCTCCAGAAACAAACAAACCAAAAAGGCCACTGGACTCAGGAAAGTTCATAAAGCTGTTCTCAACAAACACGTTTCAGACCGGGAAAGCTGAGACGCATGTCAGATTTCTAGTGAACGATCTTGCTTACACGTAATTTCCACTGAGTATTTTATACACACTGATGTCTGTGGATAACAGGTTAAAAAACCCAAGGTCATTTTCATTGGGGGTTGGGGGATTGGGTGATTTATTAGTGTTCCATTAGAGGCCATTCCTCTCTTCTTTTCTCATAGAACAAATTAAAAAAAATTCCCCCCATTTATATCAGTGTCTCCCAACCTTGGCACTATTGACATTTTGTGCCAGCTCATTTGTGCCAGGGGAATGGTTTTGTGCACTAGAGGAAGTGTATAGCAGGATACTTGGCCTCTAACAACTAGATGCCAGTAGCATGCCCATCCCAATCACGACAATCAAAAATGTCTCCAAGACATCACCAAGTGTCCCCTGGGAGGACAGAAACACCCCAGTTAGGAACCAGTGTTTTCCATTGGAAGTCAGTGGCTGGGTGGCCATTTGATGTCTGCATGTCAGACAGTCCTCAGATGGAATCACAGGCTGACTGGTACCCACACTGAGTACTAACTGAATGGGCCCATCAGCCCCTGTGGATCACACGGTCCTCTCACTGCTGAGCTCCAGGGACTGAATTCTCCAGTACCATTACCAGCAACTGCAAACCAGTGATGAACCCATTGTGTCTGTCCGTGCTGATGGTATAGTGTGCTGAGCTGAAACTCAGAATGCCACCATGCCCTGAAGGTTTGGCTGTGAGTTGTGATGCTTACTACTACTCATGGAGCCTCAGGGGGGAGTCCTTGCGCAGAGAAAACTCAACTGATGAGACGGGAGCTGTAAATTCTTAGCAGATGCGGCATGTTCTACATGAACTTGCTTTATACCACAAAACTTCATGCTTTCCAAAATCAGTCTGACTCTGAAGACTCCTCCAGAGATTAACTACTAACATGACTAAGTCTTGTTTCAGATTTGTAACTCTATCTTCTCTGTTGAGTGAGTCCTGGCTAAAGGTGACTGTACAAACAGTCCCTGGGAGACCCCAGTGTCTGGGGGTACTTACACTAGGTAGCCTGCAGTGCCATGAAACTGGGAGTGAGGGAGCAGGATACGGGTTGCCACTGAGTGCGAGTTTCGGCAAGAGCAGCAGTGACACTGCCGTGGCACTGCCGGAGGCCGGGTGCGAGCGTGTCCCTGTGTCGCGCGCCTCTCTGCAAGGCTGCCTCGGGCACTCACCCTCCTGAGGAATGATGCGAAGGGTGACACTAAGACCTGCGTCCTTGATGAGCTTCACGATGTCAGCGTGAGGCATGCTGATGATGGACTGGCCGTTCACGGCTAAGATCCGGTCTCCCACTTTCAGTTTTGCACAGCGATCTGCAGGACTCCCATCAATGATGCGGCCTATTTTATGGGGCACAGCTAAAAAAACCCCAACAGAAATAGGTATCAGGGACATCACTAATACATGTTGTGTCTTTCAGTCCCCGCCCCAAAGGTAACAATGCAATGGCAGAATTTCTTCTTTTTAGTCAACTGACCAAAAGGGTGCTATACATCCTGCTAATCTCAGAGTTTCTAAACTCAAAGTCCTTTGCAAAGATAGGCCAATTCAGAACATATAGATAAGAGACTCAAACTTGGGGTGCATCATAATCACTCCAGGTTTAAAAATATAGCTATCATGGTCTCGCTCAATGCCACGTGCATCAGAATGCCAGGCAGGATGTGAGGACCATCGGTTTCTAAGAAGCTTCTGGGAGATTCCAGACATAAGTGTGTCTCAGAAGCACAGACACAGATCTTTGTGCCCAAGGAGCCCCTACTAGAGACAACAGTACACAGTTCCAGAGAGACACAGTAATGCCCAGAGCTTAATTGCTCCCCTTGTCTCTTTCACTGAGAGGAGAAAATGGGGAAGAGAAATATGAATATGGGTAGTAGCCACCTGGTGAAGAAGTTATGACCAACTTCCTACTGACCTACTAAACTTTAGTTGAAAGGTCGATATACTTTCAAATTTTACCAATGCTTTCTGATATACTCTGTTCCACGGTGCTGAGATCATGGTACTGCCTGTTACTTAATTTATTCTGTCAATGCCAAGATACCCTTGATGATAAGACATCTCTTTATTTATGTGCCCAAAGAAGGAAACATAAATAAAACCTCTGCCCATTAAACAATGATACTCCATGGACTATAAGATGCTCTTCAATTGCTGAGATATTAAAATAGAAAAAATTTTTAGAACTGATGAAAATATGTCACATGTCTCCTTAAAGAAATGAGCACTTCTTTTTTACAACACTGAGAAGCCTTTTAAAAAATGTCTATTTATTTATTTGAAAGACAAAGAGAGAGAGAGAGAAGAGAGAGAGATCTTCTTTCTATTGGTTCACTCTTCGAGGATGCCTACAAAGCTTGCTTTGTAGTTCAGGCCGCAGCCAGGTATCTGGAACTCCATCCAGATCTCCCACAGTACTTGAGCCATCACCTGCTGCCTTCCACATTGTGTGTTAGTAGGAAGCTGGATGGGAAGTGGAGGCAGGACTTGAATCCAGGACATAGGATCTGGGCATCCCAAGAGGTGGTTTAACCTCCTGTGCCACAATGCCCCCCACCCTATTTTTCTTTTCATAACTTATTTATTTATGTGGGAAGAGTCACTGTGGATATAGATTTTCCTAGCAGATTAACTTCCATTTAGTGTAAGTGGTTGAGTACCAAGAACACCATTTCTGGGGTGAGACGTCGATAGGACATAGTGTCCCTGCAAGCCTCTCCACAGAGCTTTCACCCTAGAAGCCTGTTCCTTTCTGTCTTCAAGATGGCGAGGCTCTGCTGAGATCACCTGTCTTGTTGCTCTCTCTATGGATCAAGCACTAATCTAATCTGCGGAAAGAGGCAGACACAATTCACCATTTATTATGCTCCAAGGATGTCTATCCTTGAACTCTCAATTTGTGCATGCATTCCAGAGAAAGGCAGAACATCAGCTAATAACCACGATAAGAAAGGACAATTAGCGAGTTAATGAACCACTGCTTTCTTCATTCTTCTGTTGTGAAAGGTTATAGGTAACATATGAAAAGATTGGCTGAGCCTGTGTCCCTGAGGTGAAACTCATCGTGGTTGAACCACAAACACATTTTTATATATCATAAGCACTAATCGCTTTAATAAAGAACAACTACCTAGAAAATACTAATGATTATCTCAAGGTCTTAGGACAAAACATTTTCAAGTAGAAATATAATAACTTGTGATTTTATTCCCCCTTTCATGTTCAATATTGTCATGGAATAGTCCACAAATGACTTGGTCTCCCTGGCTATAATGTGTATATTGTTATTTATCCTGTGACCTTTGGAAAGTAACGGGGCATTGGTGGGAGTGGTTTTGAGAATACAATGAGTTACCCTAAGTGATTAGAACAGTGTCTAGCATGTAAGAACTGATCTGTATGTATTAACTGTCACTCTTTCTTTTACTATCACTTTTTAAATTTTAAATATTTCTGGTATCACTATTAGTGTGTGTGAATGTGTGTGTAGCTAGCAACTTGGCTTCTTCCCACATGGAATAAGCATGTAATATTGTTAAAAGTAAAAGAACAGTTTGCTTACTATAGGATCATATAACTCAATATCCCCAAGTATCCTTCATTTATTAAAGAGAAATGTATTTGGGGGAATTCAACACTTGTTACAGGCAAGAGTCTGTTTTTCTTCTAGTTTCACAAAAAATAGATACTGCAGGTCTCTGCAGGAAAATACAAACTTGTAAGTAAGAGCTTATTACTTACAGGGAAATCAGTGTAACACAAATCTCTTAATTATTTACACTGAGCCGTACACACATAAATACACTTTCTTATTTATTGAAAGTTACGAACAAATCCTTTTTTTTTTTTTTACCTCTTATGAGTACCAACATGAACCAAACACTGTGCTAGGATGTGTGTGTGTGTGCGTACACACACAAGTATATAATTGTATCTACAACAAAATATATAGGCGTGGGCATTTAGCTTAGAGGTTAAGGAACCTGTTCAAGTGCCCATGTGTCCATATCAGAGTACTTCAGTTGTATTCTTGGTCCAGGCTCCTGACTCCAGTTTTCTCCTAATGCAGACCCTGGGAGGCAGCGATGGTGGCTTAAGTAATTAGGTCCCTACCACCCACACATTGGGACCTAGATTGAGTTCCCAGCTTCCAACTTTGGCTGAGCACAGCCCTGGGCACTGCAGGCATTTAGGGAATAAACTAGCAGATAGGCGCACTTTCTGATTTTCAAAATAAATAAATAAACAAAATCCTTAAAAAATCATGTAAGATACTTGGTGTCATTATCATTTTACTGGAGGGGAAACTGAGGCATAGAGCTATTAGTAACTTGCCCAAGATCACATAGGCCAAACACAGCTTAGCACCCCAGTGTCTCAGGTGCTTTGCCTGTGCCCTTGTACACAGCACTGCCTCTCTCGACTTCACTGTCCCTGACAATCTACCGCTTGCGTTGTGAGCTCTTAGCATTTTGATTTGAAGACTTCAGTGTGCTCCTAGGTCAGGAATCATAAATACTTCACAAGTGGCCCTGATCCAGCAGAGCTGGGAGTCAGACACTGGGTTTGATGCAGGCTCTTCGCTGTACTTGTCTTTTGACAGGCAAGGAGTGAGGAGAGAAGAACGGAGGGGGAAATTGGACAGTTCTTCAGATCCCATTTGGTTGGGACTTCACACTACAGTGTCAAGCCTTTGCTTGAAATCATCTCTTTGGGTATTAGATACACTGAATATGAAATGAAATCTAAAAATATACTTCAAAGCACAGACACATTATTATTGGAACTGATGTTGTGGCACAGTGGGTTAAGCCTCTGCCTGCGATGTGGTATCCCATATGGGTGGTGGTGCATATGCAAGTTGCCTCACTTCTGATCCAGTTCCCTGCTAATACTCCTGGGAAAGCAGCTGAAGATGGCCCAAAATACTTGGGCCTCCGTCACCCAAGTGGGAGACCTGAATGGAGTTCCAGGCTCCTGGCTTTGGCCAGCCCCAGCCCCAGCCCCAGCCATTGTGGCCATCTGGATGTGAACTAATAAATGGAAGATCTCTCTCTCTCTCTCCTCCCCCACTTCCCATCCCTTACCTCTGCCTTTAAAAGAAATAAAAATATATCATTTTTTAAAAAGCCAATAATCTTATAAAACAAAAAGAAAGAAAGAAACCCCCCAGACACACTGTATTGGAGGATATGCTACTTTGACTTATCTATGCCTCTGCTCTTCTCCATAACTGTGGGTCATTTGGATTTGCTGGATACAAAACCCCAAATATTTCAAAGCATTGATTCTCTCCCTCTCAATCTCTCGCTCTCTCTTCTCTCTCTCTCTCTCTCTCTCTCTCTCACACACACACACACACACAATTTTGTGAGTTCAATGACAATAAAAAGTGGACAGCTATTATTTGCTAATTTCTAGGCACTGTCCTAGGCACTTTATATTCCTATAGTAACAGTGTGAACTAGTTATAAAAGTATAATACTCATGCTAATGTTATTGTTGAGAAGACAAGTGTCAAAGCTGGGGTTCTAATCCTTGCCAGTGGCTTTCACATTTGGGGTTCCTCTCTTCATTTTGGATATGTGGGAGACTGAGAGCAGTTTGAGATATGAGAAACAAGATAATGATGGTGGGACAGTTTACAAAAGCCTGCTGTTTGAGATTTCCACTAGAAAGTTCCACCATAAACACAATTATTTGCTTATGGTGAAAACTGTTTCAAGGCCATTTTTAAACTTTATTACAGTAGTTAAAACAAATACTAAAATAAAGGAATAAAAATCAAAATAAAAGAATAAAAACCTAAAATAAATGTTATGGCAGCCACATGGAATTGCATAAAATATGAGTGAACACACAATTTAAAAACATGTGTTCAATAATTGGAAGTGCCTGAGATGGATTCACTGCAAACTCTTGCCATTGGCATTTATTGCAATAAAAACAGTGCTTGAAGCTCTTGGCAGCTGAAGGCAGCCCTCTGTTCTCTTAACTAGCATTTCCCCTACATCTGTAAGTGCACTGAGTGTTGATGTACAGCTAATCTTTGACAAGTGGTGTGCTCAGAGAGGAATCTCTCTGAAAACAAGATGGAGTTCCATTTGCTCAGTGATAAGGACTATAGAGCTTATGACCTAAGTGCTTTCTGTGCAATGCTAATGGAATTACACAGCAAGGAAGAGGCCCTGACCTTGGTTTCTATTATTGGGATGAATGGGGCTCATTAATTCTCTGAGAATTGATGACTAAGGTAACTGCCTGAGCCCAGTCCATTTAGACAGCAGGCCCTGCACACATCATCTGTCAGGCAGAAACGTAAATCAAGTCTTTGGATCAGTCTTCTTGACACGGT